AATTCTCTCTCTCTCTCTCTCTCTCTCTCCCCCCCTCTCTCTTTCATTCCCACCTACCCAACAGTCAGTTGGTGCAAAACCTTTGCTGTGATGAATGTAATGGTTTAAGGTAGAAAGGGGCCGCCCCCTACAGCTGTTGACTGAGTAAACTTGAGTTCATCATTTTTTGTGAATAAAAATATTTCTTTAACAATTCATACTAGGAAACACTGTATGTCACCCATTAAGTGACACACACACACACACTTGTTTCTACTGCCAGAAATTGATTGCTGGACTTGTGAACTGTGTGGACAAACCAACAGTCAACTCTTCACCCACTTTTTTCATTCATTCAATGGTCAAAGCAGAAGCTGGACTCAGTCCCAGCTGACAAAGGGTAAACTTCACCTCAATTTGTCCTTTGTTGCCTTATCACGGTATACTTACTACTCGAGAGTGCAGTACAGCAAACCAGAAACCACAAATTTAAGGAATCACTGAATCCAGGACTAGTGGAAGCAAATGCATATTGTTAGCAAATGCGAGAACAACAATAACAACAACAATTATAACAACAGCGGAAATAACAACGAGAATACGCTTCCAAAAAATTGAAGCTTAGCTGTAGAATATCATGGTATAAACGTCCCTCCATTGCTGTGCGCTGTTGAAAAACCTGAAACACTCGTGCATTTTTCTACTTCAAGATCATTTTCTCAGACCACTTGAAGTATAATGGTATGGCAAAATGGTAATATTACATTGTATTACAGTGCTTAGAGCAACACAATTCAATCTGCTGTTATTTTACCAAATAGTCTATATAGTCAAATAGTTCTTTGGTAAAATATAGCAAAACCTAATTTTCTGTGCAAAGTAATATTAATTTTTTTCATATAATTGTTCTGGGTTTTTTGCATTAAATCATCAGTGCTAAGCAAGTCAAACTTTAATTCTACTTTATTTGTAGTACACTGGTAGAGTGGATGAAAACGTTGCAGATGTGGTGGTGATGAAAATCAAAGCTCTGGACGACGACCTCGTCAACACGGACAACTGGCTAGCCGTGTTTACAATCGCCAAAGGCAATGAGGACAATCTCTTCTCCATCGAGACAGACAAGGAAACCAACGAGGGCATCCTGAAGCTGATCAAGGTACGAGAAGTTCTGCCACAGATATCAAGGTATATCGTTATTGGACTTTTGGTCTTTTCTTTCTCAGTTTATTAGCTGTTGTTTCTTCTTGTTTTCCCTTCTGGACCGAACAGGCTGTGGATTTTGAAAATGTTAAAAATATTGAACTTCGCATCCTGGTGGAAATGTGGATGGTAGTGCAACATTATTGGATGTGGGAGTTCAGGTTGGAGAAGGTGGTCCTCTGGGTGTTGGAACAGGTGTAGGTGCTGGGGTAGGTGCTGGAGTTGGAGCTGGGGCCGATTTGAGCGCAGAGGTTGGGGTTGATTTGAGCGCAGAGGTTGGGGTTGATTTGAGTGGAGAGGCAGGAGTTGAAGGGGGTGCAAATGTAGGACTCCATCCCAACCTTGGGGCCGGTGTTGGAGTTGGGCTTAATCCTGGACTTGGGACTGGATTAGGAGTGGGACTCAATCCAGGAGCAAACGTCAAGCCAAAAGCACCAGCCCAAAGTTACCCCATTAAGATATCGGTGAATAATTTACCAGAGGATCCAGCGTTTGTCCCAGAAACCAAGGTTGTTCCTGTGTCAGAAGATCCAAGCGACAGTCCTAAGGACGGTGTGATCACCACTTATGCTGCAGTTGATCCAGACACGGGTGAACCTTCTGAGGATGTAAAGTAAGTCACATAAAGGTGTTGGAAATATTCTTGCACATTGTTCTAATGTTGCCCGGAATAGTTGATCAAAAACAATAATGCAGTATTGATGGAATTTAATAAAGGACATCTTTTTATTAACTTTTTGCCGATATACGAAATGCTGATAATGTTTAAACACTTTTTTCTGATTCCAATATCAACCGATACCGATATATCAGGCAGTGGTGGCCTAGTGATTAAGGATGGGTTAAAGCAGTGATTCTCAATGATTTTCTGCCAGGCACCCACCAGAGGACAGATTTATTTTAGTCTAGTCAGCTAATGTTATCAGACATCCCTAATTTTTAGCATTAAAACATCATCCCTTTGTACATCTGGTTACATCTGGTTACTGAAACAGTTCATTTGTTACAGTTACTAATTATAGGATATACTTTTGCAGGTGTCCTTGGGTGAGAGAAAGGCGGCTATGAAATAAAATGTGTTATTTTTATTGTCATTATTATTATTATTATTGCTTTATTGACATGTGTATTGTTGTTGTTAAGTTATGCTAAAGCCTATGATCCAGGCAACTGGTTTACGGTGGATGAAGAAACAGCAGAGATTAAACTCAACAAAGCACCAGACCGAGAGTCGCCATTCTTGGTTAATGGAACCTACATTGCCAAGATTCTGGCCATCAGTAAAGGTATGTATGTATCCAAGATAATCCAAGTGTGTTATTATTATTTTAATTTTTGGGGGGGGACTAATGACCACTCCTTTTATCAGACATGCCAGCAAAGACTGCAACGGGAACCCTAGCCATCAAAGTCATGGACTCCAATGACCACTGTCCCACCCTCACCACCAGCCACAACAGCCTATGTGATAACCAAAAAACGGTCATCGTTACCGGTCATGATGTCGACGCCAATCCAAACGCTGCTCCCTTCAGTTTTAAAATTGTACCTGAGGGAACTAGAGGCAGCTGGACTGTGGGACAGATCAATGGTGAGTAAAATCACAAGACAAGTTGGAAGCAAAATCCTGCTTGGAGGCTATTAGGTTACATTTCCATTAGGGAAATTGTCACACAAGCTCCATTCTGCATTTTGGAAACTGGGGTGCTTGGAGAAAATCCTATTCAGAAAGGCCAATGGTTACCACTGGGACGTGAACCACTGGTTTGGCAAGAGCACTAATTAGTCTGTGTGTCTAATTGTCCACAAATAACCTGTAAAGTCCACATGATCAGCGCATTTTCAGCCTTAGTTAATGAAAATGCAGGTTTGGTGGAAAACATAAACACGCCCACAAGAAGGAGGGAGATCACTCCAGTCATGGAACTGTTGAGGTATCTAGGGGGCTGTATCTGTACATGTTGCAAGGCATGTTTGTTGTAAAGCTGGTTTAACAGCCATCTCTCTTCTGCTGTCTCTTTAGAAACAAGTGCTTTGATCCAGTCTGAGGAATCCCTGTGGCCTGGGTTTTATGAGCTGCAGTTGGAGGTCTTTGATGCTCAGGGTCTCTCCTGTCCAGAAAAAGAAGTTTTCACTGTTGAGGTTTGCACCTGTGTGGAAACAGACCACTGTGGCCCAAGAAAGGAGAGACAAACGGCTACTTCCTCAAAACTTTCTGTCCCGGCCATCAGCTTGCTCTTCATGGCCTTGTGCCTACTGTTGTGTGAGTCTATCTTGGAGAACCAAACTTTTACCCTGTTTTAGCACAAACATATGTTGGTAAACTTGTTTTCTTCATTTGATTCCTCTCAAGGCCACTTGCGTAAGTTGGTGTATCAGGTCAGGTATCATTATCATTTTAAAATGAACAGTAGCATTAGGTTTAAATTAACAAGTTTAAATATAGGTGTTACCAATTTATATCACTTCTGTAGCTTGTTGTTGTATTGGTGTAGTGTTTGTTGTAAATGTTTTTGGACTCCTGAATCACTTTTACTTATTACCATCGTGTTGTGTGTAAATTTAACTTTTTAATTATCTTTCTGTCTTGTTTTTTTTTTCAACAGTCATTCCGTTCCTCCTTCTATTCTGTGAATGCGGAGGAAAAGGCAAAATCTTTTCAGATCACTTTAAAGAAATTCCATTTGACAACAAACAGCACCTTATATCTTACCACACCGAAGGCATAGGCGAGGACAAGGTGGGATGCTTTCAGTGAATGACAATATATATATATATATATATATATATACTGTATATATATTCATTACGAGGTAGTAAGTGACACTTTCTTTCCTATTCTCCAGGAGGTTCCACTCCAAAGTGTTCCAATCATGTTGGGCGGGCAGAACAATGTTGACGGGGGACAAACACTGAACAAAAATCAACAGCAACAAACCATAAGAGAATTTGGTACTGTGGAAAATCATCAAACATTCTACAATGACACCATTCAGAAAATTTGGGAAGGCAGTCAGAGTTTATTGGAGACGGACTACCTGGACTATAACCACAAAACCGGACTGTTGCGTCAAAGGCTGGGTAACACCAAGGGTATCTTTGAGAACATGGCTCTACCTGACACTTACCTTCATGACTACTTTTCACAGGTACAGCATAGTTGCCTTGTATTTACTAACATTAATCTATTTACTCATCTGTTTACTTATTCTATTTCTCTTAACAGAAAGCAGTTCTTGCAGAGGCAGTGAAGGATGATTTGTTGGATTTTAATTATGAAGGTCAAGGCTCCCCTGCTGGTTCAGTGGGATGCTGCAGCCTCCTGGAGTCTGACAATGACCTACAGTTCTTAAACGATTTGGGGACAAAGTTCAAGATTCTGGCCGACATCTGTTTGCCTCCAACGCCTAAATCAACAACGACATTCAAAGAAGTTCTTCCATCTGAGCCAGTTTTTAAGTCCCAAACTAAGCACACGGTTGACATGAAAAATATGAATACAAGAGTAGAAAATGAGGTAACCACTGTTGACACCCCCAAACTGCCTCCGACGCAACACTCCTCCACGACACTTTCTCAGACTAACGTAACTAACTTCAGTCATTCTGCTAACATTAACCATTCTGCTAATATTAACCATTCCTCTAACGTTCATCACTCTTCTACTTTGCCGTCTATGCCAATCCAGACTGTTGTCCTACAGCAACAGCCCATGTACTATACAACCAACTCTGTCCTACAGCCGGTGCAATATGTGGTGAACCCCCAGCTGCAGTCCACGGTTCTTCTAGCAGATGGGACCCCTGGGTCAAATTACCAGGGTCTGTATGTAGTCAGTGGAGCCCACAGTCCTCCTGGAATTAATCTACCCAAAAAGTCATCCTCTGGTCTACTCTCCAAAGGAGTCGAGAGTCCTCAAAGCCCTGGTAGCCCTACCAATGTAGGCAGCCCTAAGCAGTTAGTACCAGGAGGTCCCAGTGTGGATGGCTGGAAGGTAGTGGGGCCAAATCCAGACGGTAATTATACAATAGTAAAACAGAAGAAAAAGAAGCGTTCAGCCTCTTTTAAGGGTTCTTCACCCAAAGATGCTGTACTGGTCAAAGAGGCCGCTTCCCCTCAGGGGACATTAGTTACAGCGGCCTTGGGAAGTGTGAGTGGCATTCTGCCACGTCACACTGTGGTTCAAGACGGGAATGTTATTACTTTAAATCAAACTGGGCAAACGTGGGTTGGACTGCCGGAGCCAATGGGATTAGGACCAATGACTGCTTTAGGAGTTGGTGTTGAGCAACAAAGTGTGGCTAGTGTTGGGACAGTTGGTGTGAATCAGTTTCATAAAGTTTCTTTAGAAAAAAGAGAAATCAGGGCTGTTGAAAGTACATCTATACCTCATTATCAAGGAACAGGCAAAACAGTCAAGGTTAGAGAACTGAAGATTTAATCTCCAGAGAGTGTCCCATGTGAGAATCAGAAACATCTCAAGGGTTAAAGGTTTGAGAAGCTGATTCATGACAGGAAATTATTAAAAGTACCATTCCAAAGGTATCAAGTGACGGAGCAGGCGTCAATTGATTGATGAGCAACTATGATGATGATTATATGATACAACATGTGGTTGAAGTAGAAGTCATGGTAGGTGGCAGCGATACCATCCAAACTTAAAGGAGAAATGTTTTCCAGACAAACAAGTTCAAGAAAAATCTGATCTTTACCTCATGTTATATGTATTTTTCTTATATTTTTGGTAATTAGGCTCCAAGGCCATCCCCTCTTCCTACGGCTTCTTTTTTTTTCTGTCATAGATATTGCTTTGTGATGTTCCCTCAAACACCAAATGTGTCCAATGTCAGCAAGATAGGAATGCAAAAGAAGTCACAACTGGTACAAGTTTCCATATAGTATACAGCCTCCAAAAGGTCTTTGTAATTTAAGACCTATGTTATGGAAATGTGAATATTTTTGGATGCAGGTTCTGTTGGGTGTTGCCTTGGAATCGAATATGTCGGCTGTATTCATTAATTGCAGTGGTTTGTGAGTAGACCTGAACCTGTCAACTGTGGGTCCAGGATGTCAGGTTGGAGGTTATGAAGTGGACAAATGGATTTGTAAAAATGAATTAAGACATTCTTTACTTGATGTAGAATTTGACCAGATGCCATGTGAGGTAAAGAAGAGTTAGGGTGGAATTCTGCAAAGGGTGTGGCTGGATTTAAAATGCTTGAGTTCTGCAAACACTGGACCTCTTCCAGATTCTTGGTTGATACACTTGGCAGGAGTCCTTAAAGGGTAAAAGAGGAAAATGTGAAAGCTGTTGGTGAATGACTGACACAAGGATTGACAAGGATTAATAGAGCTTAGAGGTGGATGACGAATCAATGTGTTTGGAATGCAGATATTGTGTTGTTGACACTAAATTAGAAGGAGAGGAAAGAATGGTGTTCAGAACGTCATGTTGAGTCAATGTTTGGGTACTTAGGTACACGTACGAACAAATCAGAAAAACTTCTGGCTCAAAATGTGGAGAGAAAATGAAGCTGTTTGACCAAAAAACTCTCACATGAATGTGAGAATGTGATTATATTACCTATCACATAGTACCTGTGATTACAGTCCCATTACTTGGCTATTGTGAATAAATGTGTCACCGTACATAGAATTGTGTTGTTAGATTTTTTTTATATTGGTTTTCACATTTTGTTCATATTTAGCTCGGTCATGTGGGCGAAACACCAATTTATTGGCACACATTGGTACAAACTGGGCACTGAATGGAGGTCATTGGTTTACATGGGGCGCTGGAAGCAAAAAAATAAAAAAAACTGCAGACGACAACACACAGGGTCTACTGTCAGGATTCACCATCGACATGGCAGGAAGCAGGTGGGACCCAAATGCAGTACTGGAGAGACCCTTTCTAGTGCAGGTAGTTTATTTGAAAGTGCAAGGCCAAAACAACAAAAACTCACTTCTTCACAAAACCAGGAACAAGGCATAAACCAGACAAGGAACGAACTACTAAGTACAAACTAAGAACTCGAAGCACACCTGTGTTTGTAAAATATTAAGCCCAGGAAAAGTCTGTCACCAGGACAGTTACCTGGTAACTTGAAATATAAATTTTTACATGATGCTTCTTACATTACATTTACCATTTTGTATAATTTGGGGGATGTTGCATTAAGATTGCGTCATACATTCTATCGCCCCTTACAGGTAAATTTGACTCAGAGTCAACCTCACCAGAACCAGGAAACCGAGTACATGTAAAAAACCCTGAAAAACAGTCGGTTCAAAAACCAGTCTGACAGAATGTTCAAAAGGCACTAAATCACTAGTCTGTGTTCATCTGAAGATTTACAGCCACACGTTTTTCTCAGTGCATCTGCAACTGCCTTTCGACCTGACTGTAAAACTAAAAATCTAATTAATTAAAGTTATCGTCATTACACACATGTCAAGTGTAACTGATTCAAAAAGCACAGTAACAGTACAATTCTTGACCCTCTTGTTGACTAGTTTTATTTTTACCCCGCGGGCACCTTAGGTAGACCAGGGGGGTTAAATTGGTCAATCAGTTCTGTTACGATGGACGAGTCACAGCCTTTAAAAATGTCAGGTGAGTAACTGACGGCTGAGCAGCAGTGAGGGGCAGTGAGGTGTAATTGATGTTTACATATAAACCTGTCTCTGTTTGTGGCATGTGTACTGCCCAGATGAGGGCGCTACTGGAAACCTAGGGATTCTTGGCCACACATTGGCCATGTACAAAAACAATAAACAACCATTCACAGTAAAACTCATAGTACCATTGTTTAATACTTTTTGTTTCTGTACGCCAGAGCCTTCAAAGAAACCAAAATTGTATCATAAAAGTCCTGCTGCAGTACCTCTGGTGACCTGCGTTGACATTTATCGTCAACTTTTTGTATTTTTCACACCTTTATTCAGTACTGACCAGTAGGTGGAAATAATTTTATCAAAGTCAACGCATTAGCTAATAGGTTCTCACAACCTGCTTAGTGTAACAGCATAACCACATTTCCACACAACGTTCTGTCAGTCGTTTTTTTATCAACCTGATAAACCGTCATGTGTTTATTATCGAAGGAAAACAAGTACTGCAGTTTTCAGGTTCACTAGAATGTAAAGCGCTGCAAGCAGGGGTGTGTTTTATGACTGGGCATGTCTTTCTCACTGTCAAAATATTTTAATACAGTTAAATTTAAATAAAATGATCATTCAAGAACGTTTGGATTAATTTACACCATAAATAATCGATAAGAAATCGATATGAAAGAAAAATCATAGCTTTTAAACTTCAGACTATATGCAGACGATACACTGAACAAAAGTGCTCATTACAAAAGAATGTGTGAGGTTTTTCCTTACAGCGCCGTGTCACCCATCGGACCATGTATAAACACAGATGTAAAGTTGCTTATAGCACCTCCTGTGGAGGCACGGGGGTGTACTAATTGTTGCGTTTTTGTCCACTTTTGTGCTGCACAAACCAGGTTAGTCAACTGAGACATTCTGCTGTGATATTAGATTCCTTTTCGTCTTAGAGTGGTGTTTCTGCACCACATGATACCTGTCTGTTCCTGTACATTAGATCAGGTTCTAACCCTTAGGCCAGACGTCAAGATGTTTCAAAATTCTACACCCTTACAGCTTCAAGCAGACACGCCTTTGTGACAGTGACAGTTGCAGCACACATACAGTAAAGGGAGGTGGGTGGAGGTTGGCTGCATCCAGGTGTATCGATACGTCAAGTCCAGCGGAGGAAGGGCTATGGAGCTAAAACATACGTAGGTGTGTCCTAAACAGATATAATTTAGGGCTAACCAGTTTGATCCAAGGGCTTAGTCTTGTTAGTCTTTAGTCTTGAGACGGACCTTGACATCAAATGCTTTGATGTCCCAGTCCTCATGGCTCGACTCAGGCTACAAATGAGCTTTCTGGTCCTGCTCCTGCTGCACATGGTGAGTACTGCGCTCCTGCCGCTGCTCCTGCACCTGTGTGAATACTGATGCACTTTCAAATTAGGGAACCGTAAATGGATGAAAGGGTTTTTGATTGGTCGTGATTTTCATGGTAACAATAGATATTAGTGAAAGCTGCAATGCATTGACAATTTTCTTAAATTTTTTTTATATAACCTCATAAAAAAAAAGGTAAAAAACTGAATGGCCAAAAAGTGAGACTTTTAATCTGTCAAACAAGGAACACGTCTGCTGGTTCACAGGAGTGAGTAAAAAACTGACATGAGTGCAACAAGTTGGCACTGGTGAAGAATAATGATGCCACATCCTAGAAATTGTGCACTGCAAACTGAGAGTGAGGTTATACAAGGACAAGGAATAAAGAAAAACTGCCATTAATGAAATGCATCATCAGTTAAACACCAGGCTGCAACCCTTACAGCTGAGTTACATGATGGGAATATCTGGAAAACATGATCCTACAGCATTTTGTTTTATTCTCTACAGTCATAAGGTAGTGCCTGGAGCAGTATGGTATACAGCGGACCCCCTAGATACCAGCTTCCTGAAATTCATGTATTTCATTAGTCTACATAGTCTACAACTATTGCAAGATTTAGCTCCTGATACGAGGAAATATCTAGTTACGAATGTTCAACCGTGCTCCTCACTCTATCCTCGCTTAGTTACTCCCTTTTACCCTATATAATACTTTTTATAACAAAAATATAAAATATTTTCTTAGTTACTATTATTTTATATTATCAATATATTTGTTTATATCTGTTTGTGATGTTTAGGAGGGGAAATGAATGGTATATTTCTGGGGGGCTGGAACAAATGAATTGGTTTTTAGTTCTTTTAAATGTGGAAAATTTGATCTAGATACGAGTGGATCGAGACAAGAGTGATGTTGTAAAAGGGATTAGACTTGTATCTCGGGAATCCACTGCACTTGGAAAACTATAAATAGTCCTGGCCCATTTTTTTTAATTTTGAATTGCCCGTCGTCTTCATTGAAAATTGAACTGATGTTTCACTTAGCGTTAGACGCCCGTGTGGTAAAACTACATTCCAGGGAAGGGATGTCGTTCCTTAGATCATAAACCTGGAATGTATTTGTTGAGACAGCATAGACTTTATTATATTATTTTATTATATTATTTATTATTATTGTGTAAGTCAGTTTGATGACTTTCACAGACAACTTGAAATGACTTGACGAGCTCAACTGACACACAGGCCTTGAGTTTGATACAGTAATGCACTGCAATCCAAGTGTACCTCAACTCAAAAATAATTTTCTAGTGGAGAATTTAACAACGACTTTTTCATTTCGCCATGAAACTACCGAAACTTGATATTTAATGGTTTTTAACCATTGAACTGTAAAGCACATTGAGTTTGCCTTGTGTATGAAACGTGCTCTATAAATAAAATTGAATTGAATTCAATTTATTTACCAAATAAACATTTTTCTAACTAACCAGTAACCAGAGGCCATATTAGTTTATTTATAACCTTTTTGAACATGTTTATTTGTAAAAGTCCCCATTGAAGAGGTTGAGACTTGATTTATGAAACCTGGCTTTTCCACCAGCAATCGACAGCAGACAGTGCATAAAAAGTGTTGATTGAACAAGTAAGAAGAGAAGATACAAGTCTTTGTGGGAAAAAACTAGATGAAAGTCATGTCGTCTGCAGCGTCAATGATATCAGAGTCACGGATTCACGACCCGGGAGTTTGGTGATAGTGGTTTATTTAAAGGCTCTGATGATTCTGCCAAGGCTGGTGGCACGGCTGACCTACAGCAGAGGGAAAACGATTGCCTCAGAGCCACCGGATGATTAGACCTGTCGATGAACTGATCTGTCAGTTCGCTGATGACTGTGCTGATGTCATCAGCCTTCAGGGTCTTCATACATAAAAAGAGAAGTTGTTTTCTTTTACTTTGTTTGTCACTTCACACTGAGTGTTGGAGCGTTTACCCTCCCAGTAGAGTTTGTTGTAAATGTTGACTTGAATGTCACTCCTAGAACAAACAACAGCTTTGTGGCTCTCTTCATGTACATAACATGTTGTTGGTTTTTTTCTACATTTACTATTTTTGAATAAAACGGATTGTTACTAAGAGCGATGGCCTCATGCTCTTTTTTACGACATCCTGTGTAGAAACACAATCATTTACTTAGGACGTAGAGTGAAGAAAAAGACATTTTTTAAAATGTTCATGTTAGATTTTCACCTGGATTCCATATAAAACAAGGAGATAATTTTCTCCCACCTGTTTCCTGTGTGCCGTCTAATTATCGGGGTGGGATTATTTCTGGTTTTAGATGTTGAGTGCAAAAGGACAGGAAATGGAGGCAAAGTCTCGGAAGAAGAGAGAGTGGATTCTTCCTCCTGCCAAGTTGATGGAAAACACTGACTACACCCACAAGGAATTCATTGCCAAGGTGAAATATTTCCCCTTAAATACCAAAAAGAAATGTTTAGAAATCTAAATGAGCTCCAGTAGTGAATGTCAAATATTAGGTTAGTGATACAGCAGGTTAGTTTCCTGAAATATTTTTTTGTAAACCTAACATTATTCTGTCTTGACAACATATATTTAGAACACTATTTGTATTTAAAAATAAATTAAAATGCTATTAGATAAGCAATAGGTGTGCAGTCCGAATGGCAGATGGGTGTAAGGTACGGATAGGGTTACATCAGGATTTGCCAAAGCCTTTATTTGTGTATTGAAAAGCAACAACACAATTCATATAGTCAGAGATATACAGTAGGACAGCAGTGAAATCAAGTGTGATGAAGGCTGACCAGAAAGTGACCGTTGTTTGTGTTTTTGCTGCAGACTCGCTCAGATAACGACGAAAAGGGCAAAGTGGATTATTACCTCTCTGGACCAGGAGCTAACAAACCACCAATTAACCTGTTTTTGGTCGACCATGATACGGGTTTTGTAACTATCACCGACATTCTGGATCGTGAGAAATACCTATCCTATAATGTAAGCAGTTCTACATGTAGTATTGTAGTATTGTTTTACTTGTAAGCAATTCTACTCAACAAGCTTCTTGTCAATCACTGATAAAAAAAAACAAAAACAAAAATCAAGCCATTTGGGATTAACTAGAAATGTTTCTCTCTTAAGGGGAGCAGATTCTCATG